TGTGACCCTAGTGTGTCATTTTAGAAACATTTAATTACATTTCATAATATATGTGACAATAGTTTGCTCTTGTGTAGTGCTTTTCACTAGCATAGATGGCTTGATCTTGCATGAGGACAAGCATCCTCAATTTCCAGTGAAGTACATGGGAGTCAAGGACACTCAGTGCCTCTCAGGATCTGATCTATGGGGCCCAATACTGCTCCCAGTTATGTTAATAGCCAGTTTATACTGAATTAAAATTGGGCCCGTAGACACTGCAAGCAACAAGCACATGCTTAACTTTACTCACAAGTAGTCCTACAGAACTCATTACAGATGAGTGGTATTATGCACCAGTTGTAAGAGTTTGCAGGTTCAGGGACATAGTTTGTGTTATAGGGTATTTCAATTTCAATGGAGGTGCCACAGACGCAGAATTTACAGGATTGTGCTCTTAGAACTTGATTCTGCAGCTGCATCTGTGAAGCTGGCCTCTCATACCTGATGAAATCAATGTATATGGCTTGGGACCTACCTAACTGTGAGACGGCCTCTGTGCTCACATACTGCTGAAGCACTTACAGTCCTCAGATTCCAATGTAAGGGGTGGTGGAGGTAGGCTATTCTTGATGGCAAGACCTTGTCTAATGGTATTCAGTTCTCCCTCCAGTCTGACAGAACCCAAGTTTGTTGACTTGTACAGTATGGTCCATTTCTTGTCTCAGACTTGGTCTGCACCTAAAACAGGTCAACCTAGCTATGTCGCTCAGAGGTGTTAAACAATCACACACCGTGAGATGTACTTAACCTGATTTAAACCCCAAGGCAGACACAGATGGCTGTCAACCTAGCTACAGCCTCTTGAGGGAGTAGATTTACTACAGCGAAGGAAAGACTTCTTCCAAATGCCTACACCACAGCACTACAGGGGTGAAGCGGCAGCACCGTAGCTGTGCAGCGCTTGTAGTGTAGATACACCCTGAGGTTCTTGCCTAAGCAGTACAGGACTAGAACAAAAGGTAACTCGGGATGGGATGGGGGCTATGGATGACAGTCTGAAGTGTAGCTGGGCGGGGAGCATGCGGCAGGAGTTGTCTGGTGGCAAGGAATGGAGTAGGGTGACCATCCATCCCTAATTGGGCGGGACAGTCTCAAAATGTACATTTCTTAAGTCCCAGGCTGAATGACTCCGGGACAGCAGTATTCAGTGGTGCAAATAGAAATCATTTCTTGCCAGTACTTCACTCATGGGAGGGTCACAAACGGGGGGTGGACACAAGACCTCCCCACATGACCCTCCATGTGACTCCTTCCAGCCCCAGGCCCCCACATTCTCCCTGTCCCCTCCGACATCCCCCTTACCTGTCTAAAATTTTACAACTGCATCTTTTGAACAGATGCAGTTGTAAAATGATGCTTTGGGTCCCTGGTGCCACCTGTACTACCAGGTGTCATTGAAGATCCAGCAGCACCACAAATTAAAAGCTTCTTAAATGAAAGAAGGATAGGAAGGACAATCACCCCACTTTCCCTTAACACACTATCAGTGCCTCCCTTATGTCCAAACTAAAGCAAAGCTACTGCGCCATCTGGGTTTGATGGAAAAGAGCATAGAACTGTGTGTGCCATCTACATCTTGATAGAACTACAGCCCAAATTGTTTTATTATTTTCTTCAGCATGACATACAGGAGTGGCACTCAAAATCAGCCTGGCAGAACGTGCATGAGAACTGTCTCTGGAGAGAGAAGCAATTAATCAAAATCACATTCTCTGATCTCTTGGGCCCAAATCCTGTTCCCATTGAAATCAAAAGGAGTTTTGCTATTGAGTTCAATGGGAACAGGCTTTGATATTTGGAGAGGAAAGAAAAAAACACTCAAGCAAGGGCTATGTTGCTTATACCACAGGTATCAAAGGCTGCTGACTCATGTGAGAAAGTCATCAGACGTCTGATCTTTGTCCATTGCAAGGGAGAAATCAGCAATCAATGAGGCTAGAACAGTCTCTGTACCATCCAGCTCATAAGTCCATCTGCAAAGGATCAAGGAAATATGAAGGCTCCAGATTACCTTAAAGTCCTCAGTCCCTTGGTTAGAATGCTCCCATTAGTATATGTTCATAGTCCAGAGGCCAGAGCAGGAAAGAGGCAAAATGGAGATGTTTCAAGGCCAGGACCTTTTAGCTTCTGCCAAGTGCCAAGTAAAGGGAAATCTGTTCTCACTGTGAAGATGGTGTTTGGAGTCACATGAGCAAGTTAATGTCCATCACCCCCACTCATATTCTAGTTAGAAAATTAAAAAAAAAGTCCATTAAGTGTAGACAGACGTTTTCCAGGGTCCATTGTGAGCTAAGTGTTCCTTAATGGGCCATTCAACTTGACTTGTCCCTTCATGTGCTGGCTAAATACTTTGTGGGCATTACCACACGAGCAAGCAAACATGTAGTAAACATAGCTAATATTCATAACTTCAGATACCAAGATGAATATACATGCATAGAAATAGTATAATCATAAGTAGCAGCTATTTCACGTACATGACTATTCCCAAAAGAAATTCTGAAAAATCACACCGTGTACCTGAGACCCTATGTGCCATCACCATGCCCCACTGGAGTTTTGTTATCTGTTATGTAACAGAGATGGAGCCAGTGACATGACTCTATTTAGCCTAAAAGGGCAAGGTTAATTTTTAGCTGTTCAGGTGTGACTGCTCCTTTCGTCAGTGAGGGCATACTGGCTGGCACACATTAAGGTCAATGGACTTCAGTGTTCCTTTGTAGTTAACTTTTTAATGTTCATAAACCTGGTATGTGCTGAGGTGGTTTAAAGAATAACACAGGTTTTTAGGTTTGCAAATCTGTGAACTGCTGCCTCTTTGAGATTATTATTATTATTTGTCATAATGTGGGAGGGTAGCCTCTCTGCCCTCTGCTCATGAGGTTATGTATGTCTTGTAGCACTCTTCTGAACACCAGTTGGAAGGCATTTTTTTTTCAGCAAGTGTGGACTGATTCTTTTCTCTTAGAAGGCATGTAATTATTTCAGGTACACAGTGAGTGATTAACAGAGAAAATAATTGGGGCTGTTAAACTTTCTTCAAATTCCATAGAAAATTAAATTCAGCTATGTTTTCCAGTACAGTGATGAAATGGGTATTTGTATATACAAACATCAACATGCTTAATTACTCACTTTCCCCCCAGATATGTAGTATTTCAGTCTGTTTATATAGAATATGGGAGTTGGGTGAGGAGCCATTTCAGCATATGTATGACTTATTAAAAGACAAATTTTAAGTAGAACTGTATCCTAAACTGCATTATGGTATTGTACCCAAACATTGCATTTCAATGGGAGATTCAACTTCCTTTATAGGAACAGAACAGACTCCTGAAACTCTTACTACAAAAGTGGTCCATAGTCATGCAAGTAGTCCCATTGTCTTCAATAGGATTGATCAAATGATTAAGGGTTTACAGGATTAGGCTCCAAGTTTGTAAACTGAAATTGTTCTGGATGAAACTGACAATGCCTGAACTGTCAGATCAGGAGCTTCATTCGAATAAAGGTGGGCAGATGTGTGATAAGTCCTAGCTCTGTTGCTAAGATGAGGAACATATTTTCAGCAAAGTTCTTTGCAGATTCCTGAGGCAGCTGGTTTAAGGCCATCAGTGTCCAGTATTATCATCTTCACTTATAGTTCTCTCACCCACAAAGCTGGAAAATGAGGCATTTGTTTTCTTTGTTTTGCTGCTCCAGTTTACAAAATGCACATTAGACTAGTTTGGCTGCAAAGAAGAATTCTGTGTACACTGGGGACAACACTTGATTCCTGTCAGCCTGCAGAACTGGGCTGACTTCAGAATCCAAACATCCTCTGGTCAGTGCAAGCAGAGGCATTCCTCTAATGATTTGGACTTGATGTGATGCAGTATGGATGTCATGGATAATTCAGACCAATGGGGAGAAACAGAATCAAAAACACTGTTTAAACACCTTCCGTCCCCGCCACCCCTCCCCTCTTGAGGACTCCTGACCAACTTAACAGCACAATGCATATGCTAACAAACTTAAACAAAGGCTTTGTTTAAGTTTGTTAGCATATGTATTGTGCTGTTAAAGCCATATAAAGAAGCAGTGCGCAGCCCCATCTCTGGAGAGGGGGGCTAGCCCCAAGACTTTCCAGTACCCCATACCCAGTAAAAATCTCTTGCTGGCACTGCGTACTGGAGGGTGCCGCCCTACTTGCACTACTGCCTGGATTCCCTGCAGTGCCACTCCATGCCTGCCTGAGGCTCGGGGGTGGCACTAGTCTCTTCCACCCAAGGGCCTGCCCCTGGCTAGGCCAGAAGCCAGAGCTGGGAAGTAGTAAGAGCTGCCCAGGGAGCCCGGGCCGCTGTGGGGAGCCCCAGAGTCCTAGACCCTCCATCTGCCCTGGGCGGCACGCCCCACAGAGTGGGAACATAGGCCAGGGGCTACTCTTGAGCACCCCGACCCTCTGTGCAGGACAGTGGAAAGCTCCCCACAGCAGCTGGGCCTCCCTGGCAGCTCTTATCACGAGCTGACTCTGGCACCTAGCTTGGTGAGGGGGCGGGGCCTCGGGGGAAGAGGCGGAGCCAGGGGCGGGGCCTCAGAGGGGGGTGGGGCTCCTGCATATGTCCCCCTAGAAGGGAGTGACAGGGATGAGTGGAGTGTGTATGCGGGAGGGGGAAGCAGGAGGACGAGCTGGTGGCCCATGCTACCTGCGGAGAAGGACACAGCAGGGGAAGGAGACAACGGGGGGGCTGATAGAACCTGCTGCAGCAGGGCAGAGCCCTGAGGGGGAGAGACTCGAAAATGGGGGCGGAGGGCCAAGTCTAGGGGAGAAGAGAGGCGGGGCGCGGCCAGTGCTTCCCCGCCCCGGAGGAAGAGCCGTGTCCCACCGCTCCTTTACCTTTCCAGGCCACACTCAAGATGGCCGCCAGACGCAGACAAGGCCGCACTCTAACGCCCCGCCCACTCCCTCTCTGATTGGCGGTCGCCGCCAGCAATCTGCAATGCTACCCAATCAGCCTCTTTGTTTGGGTGCCCCCCGAAAACGCTGCGGCCTGGCACTGCTACGGCGTAGAGAGGAGCCTGGCGCCGCTGCCCGAGGGGTCCCGGCCGGGTGCGGGTTGGCCAGCATGAGCCGGCTGGGCCCTTTTCTGGTTGCGCCGCGCCTGCTCCGTCGGTCCTGGGTCCTGCCGAGGCGGCCTAGCAGCGTCTCCATAGTGACGGGACCCTGCGCGGGCCTAGGCGCCGCCGCCTCCCTGTGCTCGGGCCCAGCGGCTCCGAGCCTGGCCATGGAGGAGCTGCTGAGCCGCTCCGTGCCCCCGCTGCCCCCCTACGAGACGAGGGAGAAGGCGCCGCCGCCGGCCGAGCTCCGCAGCGCGGAGTTCATGCGCTCCTACAGGGCCCTGGAGGCCGGGCCCCGGCGGGCGGAGCTGCTGGCCCGCCTGGCCCGGGACTTCGGCGTGGACCACGGACGGGTGGCCGAGTTCAGCGCCAAGGTGCTGCAGGCTCGGGAGCAGCAGAGGGAGCCGGGCGCCTTGCTCCAGGCCGAGGACCGGCTCCGTTACTACCTCAGCCCCCGCTACCGGGGCCTCTTCCAGCACCTGGGCCGGCTGGAGGGCGGGCTCCGCTTCCTGATGGAGCTCAGGGGCGACCTGGTGGAGGCGCTGGCGGCGCGGCATGCGGAGGGGCCGCACGTCAGGGTGAGAGGAGGGGGGCCCACGGGTGGGGTGGCAATGGGTCGCGGGGAGGGGGAAGCTCCCAGGTGCAGGGCTGATGAGAGGGGGGCCCGGAGTTCCTCAACCCCTCCCCCAATGTCTGTGTGACTGCAGTGAAATGAGAGGAGTTGGGCCCCAGCGAACAGGATGTACCTTGGGCCCCCAATTTCTGTCGAAGGGCCTGTCACTGCAATGCAAATAATGATGGGGATGGGTGTGAGGGGTGGGGAACCCAGCACGCTGTGGAGGAAATGATGCCCTGCTGAGGCCGCATGGGCATGGCACAGGGTGGGAGCTGTTGTGTCCCTGCCAGTAGTTAGATGAGCCAGGAGGAAGGGGCGCCATTGGCATGAGGCAACGCGCTTGTGGACAGTAATAATAGGACGTAGCAGGGCGTCCTGCAACATGGGTGAGAATTTTGCATTTTGGCAGGTGGAATAGTTGGCTTGGTATGACATAACTGGTGAGGTGAATGTACTCTGATGCCAAGGATGTGCTTTAGCTACATCGGTACGACACACAGGGTATGTCTACACAGTATTTTGGAGAAAGTCTGTCAGCTCAGGTTGACACACTCGGGTTAGCGGAGTTCACACTAGTGCTCTAAAAATAGCTGTATAGACAGACTTGTAGTTGTTGCTTGGGCTCTGAAGTGTAGAGAGGGCTGTTGGCTTCAGATATGGAGCCACAACTTCAAAGTGCTGTCTAGAGAGCTATTTGTAGAGTACTAGTGTGAATACCATTCGCCTGATCTTGTCTCGAAGGCTCACTCCAAAATGCTGTGTAGAGGTGTAGTAATGCTAATGAAGCAAGATGTTAGGAGGAGGTGTCATCTGGAGGTGGCAAGCCAGCCCAAATGCCCGGGTCTGACTTCAGGTGTCTAGCCCAAGCTACTGCTTGACAGCAACACGGACACTGCTATTTTTAGCGTGCTCTCTCAAGTGGCGCTAGAATGTGTCTGTTATCAAGGCTAGGAGGCGTGCTCCCAGTGTAGACATAACCTAAGAAGCTACTACAGTAGAACCTCAGAGTTACAAACTGACCAATTAATCACACCTCATTTGGAACTGGAAGTACACAACCAGGTAGCAGCAGAGACTCTCTCCCCCATCCAAAAAAGCAAGTGCAGTACTGTGTTAAACATAAACTACTAAAACAATAAAGGGAAAGCAGCATTTTTCTTCTGCATAGTTAAGTTTCAAAGCTGTATTAAGTCAATGTTCAGTTGTAAACTTTTGATAGCACAACCATAATGTTTTGTTCAGAGTTACAATCTCCATTCCCGAGGTGTTCATAACTCTGAGGTTCTGCTGTATAAGTGTTAGCTCTGTCTCTCGTCTGAGGCTTTAGTTTAGTCTATCCTTACTTGTTTACTACAGGAAACCAGATCTGAATTCTGTTTTATTTCTTTTACATGAGATGCACCTATTAAATGTCAAGGAAATCCAAGGATTGCATATATCTCCAGAGTTGCCTCTCTACAAACTTCTTAATAGTCTTCCCCAGAAAAGAAAGAATAGAGGGAGGGCAGTAGCTGAGTGAGATTTAGTGTCTAGAGTTTTTTTTTTTAATTTTTTTTTTTTTTAAATACTGCGCTATAGTTAGAGCCCTATCTTACTGTTTTGTGACTGCTCTTAACTAATGAAGTCATGACCTGGGCAAGGTTTGTGAATCTGAGCAATAAATGCGGGACAGTATATCCAATTCTGAACCATGTGTACAAACCTGGGATGTTTGGGAGGAATTTGTTTGAAAAACTCTAAAATTATATACATATTGTAGCATGTTTGGATAGTGTTGCAATTTTAAAACAACCACTTTAATGTTTTGGCTAATTTGTTTCTGACACTTGTGAATAAAGCCCTGCACAGGTACAAAATTTATATCCATAGATATAAAGCGGATATCTGGGGAGCTGCAGGGCTCTATCAGGAACCGCAGTTGATGCAGACCACTGCATGGAAGGGACTCCTGTCTGGGAGCGTATGAGTTGCTTGCACACACTAGCATGACCAGGGACAGCTGCTGGCGAGCCTGGTGCCCACTCCCGCAGCCCTGCTCACTGGTGGTACAGCCACTTCAGAGAAACTGCCCAGGCTGGGTGCTGGCTCTTGCCAACGGCAGCCCAACACACTGCTGCTTTCGCTGCTGCAGTTCCTGGTAGAGCCCTGCAGCTCCCCGGATATCCACTTTATATCCGTGAATATCTGCATCTGCAGATATACATTTTGTATCTGCATAAGGCTCTACTTGTGAATACATGTCAGTGTATCCTCATCAACCAATCAGACTGCTCCCTTAGTTCATTCTTTTAAAGGTTTTAATGCTTGAAATAATAATTTTAAAGATAGCATGGTAACTGCTGGCTTTTGTTTGCAATTCTGCAACTCCCGTTTGCTCAGTATGAAACTAATGAAACCTATTGATGCATATTTCCCTTGTTCCCTGCAGGATTGGCAAACTCCTTCCTCTAGTAGTGAATTTTATGCAGTCTTTATAAGAGCATCTATTTTTCCTGCAGTTCATGGCTCCGCTTTTTCCAGTTGGGGCTTTATGTCCAAACAGCTGGCTCATTGATTAGTGAAATCTTATTTCATATGCCAGCACTGTAATTCTTATTTTTGCAATTCCCCCCCCTCTCTCCTTTCCCCTCCCCCCACAACTTGGTTGATAACTTCTCAGATTAGTGATCTGATATAGCTAAACACATTAAGTTAACAGGAGACCAGAGGATGTCTCTTGATGTGATGTTTGTTTTGTTTGTTTTTAAATGGGTGGGGCACATCCCTCCTATTTTTTTTTAAGTTATTATTGGCAGTCTTTCTCTAGGAAAATGACTTTGGCGCTATCGTATTATGCATTGTTTCCTTCAGTTCAGTAGAGAGGATTCATGCAATGGGGTTTCCTAACTCAGCCTATGATGGTATCTCTGTTTAAAGCTGAAATTATCTTGACTTGATTTTGATCACAAATCTTGTTTGAAAAAAACAGAATTCTCTTGGAAATGTTTACAAGATGCATTCTTGTCTTTTGTAATCGGTTATGGAGAATGACAACAGAACTACATTCTGAAATGAACAATCTGACATTCCATCTTCTGAAATAAAAGCATGTGGAGTGAATGCAGTGTTATGAAATGGTACTTGTAACATAACTTCCCTTGTATTCGACCCCCTGTGTAGTCTTTGTCCTTTGAGTACTGAAACTATCAAAATATTAGATTTTTTTTTTTAAATACAAATCAAAGATTCAGAATTTTTGTTTCTGTTATAGAATGCAGTTAACAAGGAAAAGAGAAATTCTAAACTTAAAATCAATGTGTATTTTCAACATCTAGATGTGAGTATCTTGTGGACGTGCAGAACAGCATTCAATTTTGTGCTTAGTGACACTGTACAAGGATATTTTTTTGTAAATTTACTTAATTTTTTCATCCAGTTACATTGAACTTGTTTCCAAGAATTAACATGTAAAGAGCATATGTGACGTGCTTATTTTCAGCATCTCTTTTTTCTTCATATGAGTGGAATTATGGTTCTGTGGGCACTGAAACATTTTAGGTTTGGAATTAGACTAGAGATTTCATTGCCTGAATATAGGGAAGTGTTTTCCTGGATCTGTGAGTAACTATCCACATTGAGACTCTTAACATTGTAGTTAATCTAATGTTTTAGAGCGCAGCCATGGAAGTCTTGGAATAATTGGCAGTTGTGGAGGAAGGGCATCTTGGAAGAACTGCATCTGCTGGAAGTCTGGGCCACATACCCAACTGTCCAAAATGTACCTGCAACCACTTCCTGATGGCTACTGCTCCATCCAATCACTTAAACCTTTTGAAAAATGTAGGTAATAAGCATGCACGATTCTCAAAGAGAAAGCATAGGAGAAATTTGAGATTAGTGGAAGCAATCAGGCAGAACATGTGGGTTCTAGATTTAAAAGTGTATACAGCATTTGAGTATCTTGAGAGCAATTCTTCATTCCCAGCATTGGTTACGACACCGGTATGGTTCAGTAACCAGTGAGCCTACTCCTGCAAATGAGTAAAAAAACAACCCTTCTGCCCCCTATTGTCTTCCTCCTAGCTGAAGGAGGAGTGCTAGACTATAGAAAAGAGCACAGAAGAGTCTTCTCAAAACTTTAGATAAGGCTGGTAGCTGGATTATGCAATACTAGAACTAAATATGTAACCATTTCTCCATCAAAATCTTTACAGGTATTGTATGAAATAGAAGGATGGCATTCTATTTCATTTCTCTACCACAGGTGCATTGCTATTGAATCATTACTGTAATAGATGATGAAATGGATGCAACATGTATCCTTCTATAGTTATACCTGAGTATTTATATCTTCAGTGTAATGGATAACTAATAGACATAGTTGGTCCAGTTTTTAAACCATGACAGTTTAGCCTGTTGATGGTAAAAACTGAATTAAACAGAAGTGTTTGCATAAATTATACTGTTTTTGTCCACTGTTGAGATAAAAATCATTAAGATGCAGAGAAGTAAGTGTCCCTCTGTGTTCATCTCATTTGATTCAGTTCTATAATGACACGCTGCCCAGGTATTGTGTGCCTGGCTGTATCCCACTCTTAAATACTGTTGTTGGTTAATGGATGATAGGTGCCATGCCCTGATGTGACTGAACTGCCTCTTTTTATGCATAATTCACAGTGGTGATCTTGATTTTTTTTTTCTAAGTGGCATAGCTGTCATAAGCTGCCTTGATAAGGCTCTAGTTCAAAAGACTATTTTATTTATAGCAAACAAATTCTAAGAAACTGAGTAGAGTAGTCCCATTTTTCAGTGCAGGAAAACCAAAGAATCTGAACATAAACATTGAACAAGGCATTGTACATATACTGAATAGAGGATAGTATGAAGAAAAGAACACCCTGCAAATATGGAGGAATTTGTATTCAGGGTTAGTATTCTAAGGTAAAACAGTCAGCGGAATCATGACCAACGGCCCAGAGAAAA